CCCTTCATGGTTTCTTGCACCGGGGAACATGAATCAACTGCCAGGACCTGCTAAGTCCCGCTGTATTCAATCACAGCAGAGCCAGCAGGCAGGGGCACGTGCCCTGAACCCGGAAAAAAAAGCCATGATGCACAGGTACGTTATTGTGCCTATGCGAGCCTTCCATCTGCAATATCCCATCCATGGGTCAGCAAGCTGTTAAAGGGTAGCTTCGCATTTGTGGGGAAAAAAAAAATGCAAATAAAAACAGAAATTGAACATATATAATTGATACACAAGTCACATTGTAATGTAAAAGGTAACTCCACTTTCGTGGGAAAAAATAGCAATGAAAAAAATAATACAGCATATACAATTGCAACGTAAGTCATATTTTAAATGGAATGTAAAAAAAAATTTGCAACAAAGTTTGTTAAAATCTTTGCAGTGTACATTATTTCTCAACAAAAATGGAATTACTCTTCAATGTTATTAAGACTGACCTTTCCTTTTCAATCTGCAGCGCTGTGATTTTCTGTAAAATGCAATGCAATATGGCAACCTGATGGTGTACAGAACGCCCGCCCCAGAAATGTAATTTTCTGCTTGTGTGATTGGCTCACTTTTTTCCCTGAAGTCTGTACTAAGACACAAGTCAGCTTTTGGGCATTGCCTGCAACAAAAATATAATATTTGGTGTGATACTCCTAAAAGGAAATCACATCTAAAGGGATGCAGACCCTGACACTTTCCTCAGTAGAGCCCTGCAGGTGCAGCAGCTGTTTGATAATTATAAAGTCACTCCTATTCACATTCACTTTGCACAAGGACACAGGACAAACATGCAATATGGCTACCTGATGGTGTACAGAAAGTCCCCAGAAATGTAATTTCCTGCTTGTGTAATTGGCTCACTGATTTACCCAGAAGTCTGCACTAAGATACAAGTCAGATTTTAGGCATCCCCTGCAGCAGGAATTCCAGTTTTGGTGAGCTACTCCCCAAAGATTAAACATCTAAAGGGATGTAGACCCTGCAGCTTTTGGGTGCATCATGTGATTATAATGAACCAGACCCTCCCATTTAAAATCAGTCTGCAATAGGTCTGGTGAAACAAACAGTTATTTCTTCACAGCAACAATAGGCGGGAATCTGCTACAAAGTTTGTTAAAATCCCAGCAATGTACATAGATCACCAGGTGGGGAATGTTTTTTCTTAACAAAATTGTTAATTCTGATGAGAAATTTGAAGCTTCAGCAGAAGCAATTCAGCACTTTACAGTGGGATTTCCATTATATTCAGTGATGTCCATTCACACCTCAGTGTAGTGTCACATGAAGCTTGAAGAAGTACATCAGCTTCTTTTAGGGCAGAGTCTCATGGTTTGGCTCCAACAGACTTCAAAGGAAGTGCCTGAGGAACAAATTTTTCACCTGTTTACTTGCCTAGTAATTAGTTTTTGATTGGCTAAAAAATTTTTTTAAAACCTTTTAAGCCTGATACCTGTGCAAAAATGCCTACAAACATTGAAAAATGCCCCCAGTGAAAATGAGGACTTTGGAATCTAATTTGTCCATCTAAACGTCATGTAAATCTGCTATTTGCAATGACTCAAAATCCAGGCTATTCTCTGCAATTCAAATATATTGCATCATGGCCACTAGGTAGTGCTGACTATCAAAGGAAATACATTCGCTCATCAGTGCCACCTAGAGGTCATGATGCGCTATTTTCTGCATTCACGTATTTGACCTGCAGGGACTATAGTCTGAGAACATTTGACTTTGCCCCATTTGCACAGAACAAATTTCTATGCAGTTTTGATAGACCAACAGCTTTAAATAGCCATTACCATTCATGTGTGTTATGTGGAAACCAGATGTATTTAACTGTAGCCTTTTGTTTCTCTGTGTATTGTGGTTTTTAGAACCAGTTTTGTCAAATGCTTGTTGAAAAAAACTCAACCTGTTTTTGAGAGCTTACAAAAATATTTCAGCATGCTCAAAATTTCTGGAAGATTGGTTCATAAAAAAGCTTTCACAAATAGAATAGGTTTGGTGATGACAAGAACTTCCAAAATTTGCAATCTTTATAAGAATACAGTAAGCTAGAACCACCAGTTAGACAACACCTCTTAAATGAAATGTGGTTGTTGTGAGTTGTACCTCATCAATGCTCTTTGAACTGGCATGGTGAAGAGGACAACATCCACCCAAGACAGTTTGGACCACACCAATGGAGAAGGTCTCTGACTAATCTAAGGTAAGTAGAACGAAGTATCTACATTTTAGAGTTGTCATAAGAGTAAAAGGTGAAAGGAAATCTCTAAATGGTGACATATATGTTCTGGTGACAACTGTGTAAGATGGGAATACCCCTCACTAAGGGGAGATTTTCTCTCACTTCTTGTTGTATCTCGAAGACAGGATGTAGAGCCACCCAAGACAGTTTGGGCCACACCAATGGAGAAGGTCTCTGACTGATCTAAGCTAAGTAGAATGAAGTATCTATGGGATAAGAATAGTAAAGAGGCAACTGTGGTAAAAGTACTCTAAATTGCAAATTTTGACGTCTCTTCACCTCTTGAGGTTCTACTTTGCTCCATAAAGGCTGTCAATTACATTCATTTACCAATAGGGAGCTTTGAGGTGTGATCAAACTTGACTTGTATGAAAGAAGTCAAGATTTGCATACCATTTCAGCTGCCCATATCTCAGGATCTACAGTCAAATGTATCATGCAGGTAATATCTACTTTTACGTTTTTTCACCACGTGCTTAGTTTTAAACGTCTGGGATCATGACAGGCTTACCTTAATTTTTAATAAAGACAAATTTTCAAACACTCTGAAAAATATTCTGGAAGTTACTTTGGAGGTGGAAATATAGTAAATCAAATTCCTTAAAAGCTAAATTCATATAAAAGGAAATTTGCCATGATTGGTTGATAATAGAGATGAGCTTGGGCATGTGTGGACGCTCTTCAGAACCGTAGTAGCTGAGCTCCCCAGAAAGCTGTCACCTGTACTGGGACAATTATCTGCAGCGGGGTCGCTCGCTCCCCGCCCTACAACAAGAGGTGCCATTGCGTGCCGCTGCAAGGCCTTGGCCACAAATGACTGGCCCATTACAGGTGACAGATTTCTGGTGGGCTTGGCCAAGTGGGTTTGGAAGAGCATCCAAACACTCCCAAGCTCATCTTTAGTTGAGTATTATTACAAAGTTCATTTTCTCTATTCTGCTCTCCAATTACTTCTATGGTCATTGTTAGACTGTCAGCTGTTGCTCCAAATTGGCCACACATGGATGCAATGCAGCAGTCATATACAATGAACTCAAACAATAGTTCGCAGCCTGTGTAGTTTGGGATCACAGCTGAACTCCAGGAACTAGATAGGGTTGCCACCTCATCCTTTTAAAACTGAACACATATTAATTATACAGGTTCTGCGGCTAATTTATGCAGATAAGTTCTTCCGTGAGTTTAATTACCACCTTAATAAGCCACAGAACCTGTGCAATTAATATGTGTTCAGTTTTGAAGGGATGAGGTGGCAACAATATCTACCCTTGCAGTGCTCCCCATGCAGTGCAAGGGTAAATGATCATTTAGTCTAGAGGTGTAGGGATAACCTGTATTGCTTACTTTACACCTGGTTTCAACACAGGCCCTCCAGCTATGTGCTCAGTCCAATACAGTGTCCTCACTTACTTTGGGCTGCAGTTGCATGCTCATGTCCATACAGGGTTGATAGCCCTGCACTATACTTGATGATACCAAGGCACCACCCACGACCCGGAGCTTGGGGGCAGCACTGAAGCTTGCAAAAGCAAGGGATAGGGTAATAAATATACCATACACCTGCACTCCTAAATTAAATGAGCATTTGACCCTTGCAGTGTGAGGGGGGGGGGGGGGGGTGAGTGCCAGGGAAGGTTTTGTCTAATTCCTGGAGTTCATCTTTAAAATTAAATTGCGTCCAAGCTATGGAATTCATTTGTTTCAATCAATTAATCTGCACACCTGGTAAATTAGGACATGTGGCTGTGTTTGTACAGCTGCTGCGTCCCCATAGAGGAAAAGGTGGCTCCAGGCACATGAACTGCTAATTCACACTGTATGGGCCAAGAGGCCCCTAATTTTTATTGTTAAATATTTTTACGTTTTCATGCGCCAAGTCATGGGGGGGGGCTGTTTATCCATGTTTTTTTGTACCCAGCCCCTTTGTGACGCAGCATGTCCATGTCACCATGAGACTGCTGAACAATTTGGAAGAGGCAGCCAGCCCCCTGTTGATGTCCAAAGAAGATGATGGATATGAGGCAGCATAGAGGTGGATCTCTATGCAACATTTCTGAATCACCAGGCTTGTGAGTATGCTTTTGTTGAGTGACCCGGGTATACAGGTAAAAGAGGAGGGAGAATAAATAGGGAGAGGGGAGCTGAGTTCCAATTTAAAAATGTGTGAGACAGAAGATCAGATTATGCTTTTTCAAGGAATATAATATTTATATATTATAAATGTTATTATTGTCTGCTTACACAATGGAGATCTCACAATACAACACACATTTGTACAGCTTTCATTATGTGTTTGTGGCAGCAGCTGAAATCTAGTCTTCGTGGGCTACCGTCCTCTCAAAAAAAGACTGACAGCACTATGTTCTGTGAACTAATCTACATTTGGATGTTGGGGAACGAGCATGTGGTCACTTCCTGGAAGTAAATCATTATCTACAGTGTGCTCCTTGTATGTAGACTATATTGTCCAGACAATGGCCCATCACAGCCCTAGCACCAGCCCAACAGCAGATCTCCAAATGTTACCAATGGCTGAAGATTCAATCATCAGACTACGCTGTAAAATCCCAATGGCCATGGGCATCTATTTAGAGTTTGTGAAAAGACACCTGGTTATTTCCATTCTTGGTACATACAGAAGCTGCTATACAGTGTCCAGATATTTATGGTTCATGGCTCATCCATTGGGGCTCCTGTACAGTAGATGGAGCTCCATCAGTCACATCTTGGCCTCCAACATTTCCAGGAAAAGTTTGTGCATCGGGATTCTCCCCTCCAGTCTCATCTGGCAGAAAGTGCGCACAGCTTCATTTGCCGTCTGGCGGAGTAGCGGCAAGGTCATGAGGAGTTTACCAGAACGGTGTGGATCCTCGGCATGGTGCTCCCTCTCATAGTCCTGAAGGGCCTCGTGAAGACGATCTTGTAGGTTCAGGACAGCCTCCACATTCTCGATGCTGCTGGAATCTGGAAAACACAAGGAAAACCAATGTTATGGATTTGAGCACACAAGAAAATTCAGACCAGAACAAATCTAGTTTTAGACTGGGTTCACACTTCTGCGGTGCAGCATATCGCATGTGATTCGCACAGGAACCGCACCACATTCCTGTGCAAATCCCATGCGAATTCTGTGCGGTGCAATTTGAGCCATACTTTTTGTATTTTTCTTTGGTCTGCCCCAGAACTGAATCGCATGAGTGTTCACACCCATGAGATCCGATTCTGTACATCGCACCGCGTTTTGCGGACCGATTTCGAGGTGTTGTTAGCTTAACATACACACCCGCAGCGGTTTGCATGAATGGGGCGAGATTGTGATGGGGTGTGGAATTTGCACAGAAACCACTGCGAATTCCGCACCGCATCAGTGTGAACCCGGACTTAGTTCCACTGCTACAGGCATGTTGTTAAATATTTCTTATTCTTTTTAAATATTTTCAGTAATAACCAGTGTCAGACTTTCCCTCTGTGCAGGAGCTTCCTATAATAAAGACCTCACTGCTGCTCTCTAAACCCCCTACTGTAGTTTTCTGCAGGCAGCCTATAGTGGGTGGAGATACTGGGCTCCTCTCAGTGATCTGTACAGCAGAGTTTAGCTGGGAAAGGAAGAAGCAGCTCAAGGAACCATCCAGGTGGTTTGCAGTGCTCATATGTTAATAATCAGCATACTGATAGAAGGAGAGAGCAGAGTGAAAGAGAGATGAGCTAATCAGTCATCGTGTTTGCAATACTGCCAGACATACATGACCTGTTTTATAATTTTTGCTGTGCAATGTGTCCCACTCGCTCCAGCAGTGTTAGGTTAAGAAGGGCAGTACAAATATGAATCAACTGCCTGTTTATACCATTCACCCTGCCCCAAGTGTAAAGGAGGCGTTACTGCTGGTCAATGGTGGACAAGACATGTGGTAAATAAAATCAGGTCCCCTACACTTTCAGCCAGAACTGTGCTGTGTGGCAGTGCTGTGTAAATCTTAGAACTGTATAGACAGAAAAAAAAATGTAATTAGTTGTAGAAACTGAAGGACCTGTGTGCTGCACCTTAACCCCCCCCCCCAGCCCCCCTAATACCTGAGCTCAATCTTGATCCAGCAATGTGCACAGGAGCCTCGGCTCTCCTTGGTCTCTCTCTCCTCATTGGCTGAGACCCTATTGAATCCCACTGCTGTCAATCACAGCCAGTAAGGAGTGAGCGAGGGGGGCAGGGCTGAGCGGCCCTCTGTGTGTCTCATAGACACACAGAGGCTGCTCGGGAGCGAGCACATGCGAGTGCCCCCAAAGCAAGCAGCTTGCTATGGGGGCACTCAGCAGGAAGGGGCGGTATCAGGAGTGTCGGCAGGGGGACCCCTAGAAGAAGAGGATATGTTTAATATTAAAAGTAAAAAAAACAGAAGCTTTAATATCACCTTAGGCAATGCACGTTGACAGGTGACACAAAGCACATTCACGCAACACACAGGAACAGAGAACGACTGAACTATAAAAAAAATGTTTTTTCCATTCTCTGGATCCATTATAGTTAATGAAGGGATATTTTTTTTTAAATTGATGCAAAACCATTACACAGAGCAGATAAGTTTAACGTGTTTGTTATGTAAAAAAAACCCCCAAGAAACGAGTCTTTCATATTAGTTTCATTGGCAGGTACAACAGCTCTCACATACAGGATATATTTCATCGAAGTGTTTAGCTGTGTGCCTGGAGTTGGGCTTTAAGGTTTGATTTTCAGTTTTGATTGGAGTGTACTGTTAAAGAGTAAGGCATTAGAATTTCCCCGATCAATACAAGTGATGGATTATTTAATAATGAGATGATCAGTCTTGTGGCTGTACAAGCAGTAATCACTTCTGCAGCAGGACAGACGCAGAGGTCTATTGTAACATGACCACAAATCTCTCCCAGATTTTCCCATTCAACCCACAAATCCTACATTCAGACAAGCTGTGTACAATGTTACATCAATTATGTCTTATTAATTGAGGAAACCTGGCCATGCAAAGCACATCAGCTATGCCGGGAAGATGCTTTCATCTCTGCTTGCCACAATTAACATGATGATGAAACTTTTCAAGGCTGTGTTGTGAGTGAGAGGTAAGTGGTCCTACAACATTGAAAATGAATAAGTACTCTTCCTGCCCCGTGATAAGATGATGGAGATTGTGGCTATTCTCCGTAGCCATCACCAGGAGGGATGTGCTGGAACTGGAGAAAGTCCAGAGAAGGACAATGAAGCCAATAAGGAGTCTGGAGTACCTTAGGTATGAGGAATGGCTGCAAACATTAAACGTATTCTCCCCGGAGAAGAGACGCTCAAGAGGAGACATGATAGCAACAAACAAATATCTTAATAGTGGTTCTAGCATAGAGAGGAAACTATTCAATCTCAGGTTGCTTAAGAGGACACAGGGCCACACACTGAGATTGGAGAAGTGGTTTAACCTTAAACTGTGTAAGGGGTTCTTTACTGTCAGAGTGGTAAGGATGTTACATAGTTAGTCTGGCTGAAAAAAGACAAAAGTCCATCCAGTTCAACCATTAAAAAAAAGTTATAATCCTACATCCACAGTTGATCAAGAAGAAGGCAAAAAAAACCCAGCAAAGCATGATTCAATTTGCTCCTGCAGGGGAAAAAAAAAATTCCTTTGTGATCCCCCGAGAGGCAATCTGATATTTCCTGGATCAACTTTACCTATAAATATTAGTATCCAGTTATATTCTGTGTATCTAGGAAATAATCCAGGCCTTTTTTTAAAGCAATCCACTGAGGTGGCCAGAATTCCCTTCCACAATTGGTTGTATCTGCAGGGAGTGTCGATAATTTAAAAAAACTCTTAGATGGGCATCTTAGCACTCACAATATACAGGGATATGGGAAATGGTATTTAGTTCTAAAGGCTCAAGGTTTTTTTTACCTTCATGCATGAAGGTTAAAAAACCTCTGTGCAGCATTCCCCCCATCCCCCCCAATACTCATCTAAGCCCCCTCTCAATCCAGCGATGTGCACTGGAGTCTCGGCTATCCTGGGACTCCCTCTCCTTATTGGCTGAGACAGAAGCGCGAGCCATTGGCTCCCACTGCTGTTAATCACAGCCAATGAGCAAATGAGAAGAGGGGGGTGGGGGCAGAGCGTGGGTCCATGTGTGAATGGACACACGGAGCAGCATAGCAAGCTGATTGCTGTGGGAGTACCTGACAGGAGGGAGGGGCCAGGAGCGTCAGCGGGGGACCCGAGAAGAGGCAGAACCGGGCTGCTCTGTGCAAAACCCACTGCACACAGCAAGTAAATATAGACATGTTTGTTATAAAAAAAAAACAAAACACACGCACACATACATTGAATTGGATGGACTGGTGTCTTTATTCAACCTAACCAACTACGTAACTATGTAACACAATAAAACAGGCCTAGATATGTCAGATATATCAGCATGACCATGACAAACAACAAGGGGCGGACCGACGATTTGGAAACTCGGGCATGCCCGAGGGCCCGGGGTCAGTAGGGGGCCCCATGAGATGCCCATGGTACCTTTTTCATAGGCTTTTTTGAGTTTGGGCACACAACTATGTACTATGAACTTGAGGAACCCCAAACAAAGTAAAACAAACTAATTGGGGGTCAATGGGAAAAATTCTCCTTACATTGGTGAATCATTGGTGTGCCAGTAGAAAGAATGCAACCATTACAGTGGTGGTCAGAATGCCTCCCTTTTGGCTTGTTTTCATGAGTTTTGCCCTCACTTCTTAAAGGGCTTTTGTAAGGCAGTGAGATGGCATTATGTTGCCTCCCCACTACTTCCTTTAATGGGTTGTGTTTGGTGGGCTGTAATGCCTGCCAAATGTGATGGGGGGGATAATGTTTGATGCTCTGTGTTGCAAAGCACTGCGGCTGTGGCATATGTATACTCTCGTCCACTGCCTTTGCAGCTTAAAAGAGGAGTGATTGGAGGGTGGTAAAAATGTGATTCAACCTCATGTTTTTACTTTCCCCCCCCCCCCCATTTCAAGTGTAAACATAACCTTATAGAAAGTGAAAAGGGCCAATGTTTGCTCAGATGCAAAAGATCTTTTGGTTCACACATGTCCCATCTGTCAGTACTAGAACACAAGAATCCAGCTACAAATTCCTGTCTGGGTGGTATAAATATAAGAATCCTTCTCAACTGACATTGTGTTCTTGGGCAATTCCCTGCTGGAGGGGATGGATACACGATGGCATGTTTCTCCGAATTTGGTGGACACAAGGGCATTGTTAGGATTGTGAAAGACTCTAGGCACCTTTGGGCACTTTGAAGGAAGCAAGAATTCTATGTGCCTAGTGTGACGTGGTCACATTGTGCCAACAGTGGGAGGGATTTAAAGAAGTATGGATGAATAGAACCTAAGCTTGCTACCACACATGCTACAGTCCTTGTACCCACCAAAAACTTAAAATATGTAATATCCAGGGGTCAAGAGTAAGTAATGTACAACATGCAGGGGTCAGGAGTATGTAATGCACAGGGGTCAGGAGATTGTATCGTACAAATTCCAGGGGTCAGGAGTATTAATGCACAGGGGTCAGGAGATTGTATCGTACAAATTCCAGGGTCAGGAGTATGTAATGCATAGGGGTCAGGAGATTGTATTGTACAAAATTTCAGGGGTCAGTAGCAGGGGCGGACTGACCATTTGGGAACTCGGGCACTGCCCGAGGGCCCGGGGTCAGTAGGGGGCCCCATGAGATGCCCCTGGTACGTTTTATAGGCTTTTTTTGGGTGTGGTTTGAGTGTGGGCGAGGGCACAGGGGCCCCATGATCCCCTATTGCCCAGGGGCCCCATGAGTTGTCAGTCCGCCCCTGGTCAGTAGTATGTAACACACAGAATGCAGGGGTCAAGGTATGTAACACGCAGCATGCAGAAATCAGGAATACACAACACACAGAGGGTAGAGATCAGTAGTATGTAGGTGCAGAGTGCAGCA